ACTTGTGGTCCACCACAAATCCATACTAGCAAAAAAGCAGCATAGTCATACCTTTTACATGTGAATGATACTACCATTTGAATAGAGAGCATTTTGTTTAGTTTAGTGTTACTGTTTTGGTCACTTGTGTAACACGATATGCAAGTCAGCAGACCCACATGCATCATCATGCCCCTACCCAGAGGGAGTCCAGGGCTGCCATAGTAGGGGGGCCACCTGGGAAGATAAAGCTGATAGTAGCTACAAATTTCATACCTTGTTTCCATAAATGGTAGGAAATTAGAGGAAGTGTCCCATTTAAGCTAACCTTCCCATATTCTTTCCAAACCAGCAGCATGTAGAACCCGACTTACTCACACATGCCTTGTCCCGAAGCTGACATGTTAGTTAATCTTTTGAGCATTCTGCATCTTATTATAAAATGTGCACTGTTATTGGATGCCATACCATTGTCTCTAAATGTTGATTACTATGCTAGCAATAGCTGTTGTGGCATTGCTTGCCTTGTTGTATTATACATGCAAGACAAAATAAAGAATAAAAAAAAACCAATGATGATTAATGGCAGGATAGGCAAGTTATGTTGAAACAAGCTTGTATTGGTAGCCTAAATTTGCTATGCAAAGCTGAACCACTCACTTTAATCTGCAGCATGTCATAGGAATGTCTACATAGGTATATACTGCTTGGGCAAGTAGGTTGCATAAATATCTGAAGCGCTAGTGAGATAATCAGGCTGAGCCAGACATGTAGGTTTGTATGAGTGCATTGTGGCCTGCTCATCATGTGTGGGTCATGTATAAAGTGACCTAGGCTTACAAATGCATAAAATAACAAATAATAAATCATAACAGGCTATGCTGGAGATTAGTTTGACTGCGGTCTGGAGTCTAAGTGGGAAGACATTCTGCTGCCTAAGCGTTACAATTGTGGCTGTGTGAGAGAGCCTGGCTAAAATAATATAAACTAAAACAACAACACTGTAACATAGCAGAGAGAGTGCTGGAGGCGTGAGACAGAGTGTCTTTTTCATCAGATGCCCTCAGTTGGAAAGCAACTGTAGCCCGCCAGGAGGCAGCTGAGTGCCGCTACTCCACAGGAACTAGCGAGGGTGTCCCTCCAACTCCAGGCAGGTGAATAGGCCTGCATCTCTTGACCATAAACTCAGTGACTTCTGGAGCCAGAGTTTCCTCCACGTGTGGAAGTATCGAAGGACCTGGTGGTGTTCCGCCGCTTGCGGCGCGTGAGGTTAATGTGTGCGATGCTTCTGGGTCTTCGTCCTTATGATCTTCAGTCTGGGTGGGCTAAGGAGAGTGGGACTTGTTGGGTGTACTGATGCTGTGCCCGAGGGTATCTCCCTCACTACCTGGTTCCCACCGCCCTGCTCACCTGTTGGTAAGTTTTGTAGCTCGATCCGGGCTGCTCTCTGCCGCTCCCAGAGTCTGTTCCAGAAGCGATTGAATATGACGCTGCATGGTGTCACTGTGAAGCCTTTGGGTAGGAAGCAGGCTCTGCTCGTGTGGTGTGCTATCCACCGCCATCTTAAGTGTGCCATGTGTGGGGCAGCTCTGCTGTGTCGGTACATCAGGCTTAGGGCTCGAGCCGAGCTGACTGCTCCAGACGCCTGTGAGGACCGGGATGTCCCCCACCAGTCCAAAGGGGGGGTTAGGAGATGAAAGCGCTGGGTGTCCCTGACTCGTCTGCAAATCTCCAGGTTGCATATGTGACAATTTTCTGGGGTTTCACCCTCTGAATACGCGATTATTTTCAGGAGCTGATTCTCGGCACGTCTGCTCTGCCTGGAAGCTAGGCTCAGCCACTAAGTGTTAATTCTTATGTATCTACCAGGAGGAGATTTACACCTGAAGCCTTTTACTTATGAGGTGATCCTAGATAATTCCCATTAGTTCATACTCCCGCAATCCTAGGCATCTCATTAATACGTTTAACTCTCTTCTTCTGCTGTGGCCACCCCACAAACTAATCTTTCAGCTTATAGTTTTGCATGTTACTTTACTGACAAGATTAAATATTTAAGGAATGAATTCTCCCCCCTTCTCAACCTAGCTAGGACCATACTACCCCTACCCTCTAGGACTTCCCTCCAGCTACTGAACAAGAGGTGGCTGCTCTTCTCCTCTCCTCTCCACTACCTGTCCACTTGATCCAGTACCTTCCCACCTCATCTTGTACCATCCTTAAAACACATCCTAAATGGCTCTTTCATCTGGTGTTGTCCCTGCTCCCCTTAAGCATGCTATTGTCGTACCTATCCAAAAAAAAGCCAACCCTGTTTTCCACTTCCAAGTATCGTCCCATATCCCTGCTTCATTTTACCTCAAAGCTTCTACAGAGACTTTTCTTTACTCATATAGCTCACTTCCTAAATTCCAACTCCGTCCTCGATCCTCTTCAGTCTGGCTTTCGCCCCCTCCACTCTACTGAGACTGCTCTTATTAAAGTTACAAATGACCTAATCACAACCAAAGGTCACTACTCCATACTAATGCTTCTTGACCTCTCTGCTGCCTTTGACACTGTTGATCATGGCCTCCCTCTCCTAACTCTACAATCTAATGGTCTCTGTGACAGAGGCGTCTCATGGTTCTCCTCCTATCTCTCCCAACACTCCTTTAGTGTCACTTTTTCCAACAGCACCTCCTCTCTTCATCCTGTCTCAGTAGGAGTCCCTCAAGGTTCAGTTCTTGGTCCCCTTTTGTTCTCTCTCTCTATACTGCCTCTCTTGGCAAACTCATTAATTAATTTGGATTGCTTTTCTTCTCTCTGATTGGATTACCTCCCGCTTTCTGAAGCTCAATCTCTCTAAAACTGAGTTTCTTATTTTTCCTCCTCATAATACTTATCCTCCCCTAGTCTTCAGTCCTTTAAAAAGTCCCTTAAAACCCATTTTTTCGGGAATGCTTATTTGAACTTATACAGAAACATTTTCACGTCAGTCTGTCTTATTTATGGATTTTTATAAAGAGAAAGCTGCTTTTATACAATGAAAACATGATTTTATTAAAGACACGGAGGCTCATATTATGCATAACTCTTTCTTTATTTCCTCAGCAGCAAAGAAAGAGAAATATAAATATTATCAAAACTGAAGAAAAAACTGTATAGGCACAACAGGTAGCCAATCACAGGGTATAGGAAGTAGCTATATAAGTCTTGTGTCTCCCACAATCCCCCTCTTTCTTTGCTGCTTCCTCAGACAGATAAGTGTTTTCTCTGATCTCTGGCTTGCATTGTGATTCCATTTTAACTTGTCTTACAGTGTGTTTTCCTTTTATGATTTACATGCTGTTTTATTGTTATTTGTTTTATTATTTTTGCATTGGTTTTGATGTTGTTCTGATTATTTTTGTTTTCCTCGGCTGGTGTCTCCCCTCTGGGCCCGCGGGTGTGTCACTGCCCCGTCCGGGCGGTCCCCACCAACCCCCTCCTCTCTCCCCTCTCCTACCCGTGCTTCTGCACGGGACCCGACCTGCTGTGCCGCGGCCGCGATCTCCTCGCGACCGCGGCGGTGTACACGTTTCTCTCCTCCCCCCTTGCTCCAGATAGCGTGTCGGCTCGGCGGGCGGGTGCACGAGCCCCTTCCCCCGCCGAGTGTTTTCCTCGTGTGCCTCCCTCGTGCGGCGGCCATTTTGGGGGCGGTCTTTTGTATTCCTCCCAGTGCTGCCGTGCGACCGGCCACCTCGTAGCCCTGCTCCCTGGGGACACCAGCCAAAACGTTTGTTTTTCTGTATTTCCTTGTGGGTTAATCAACCCTTCCCTCTCCCTCCCAGCTAACACCCTGGTGTTATTCAGCCTGATTTGTTTGTAGTCAGTTCATTGCTCCCTATATAATTTCCATTGCATTAATTATTATTTTTTCTATTTAAATTCTCATTGGTCTGTCTATTCTGTCCCCCACTGTCACTACCATGCAGGATAGGGGTGATGGGCCTGTTGGTCCCCCAGGGGACTTCCAATTAGATAATACTGATGGTGCCATGGCCTCCCAAGAGTTCCAAGCCATGTTAGAGGCCACTATGGCTTCCTCCATCCAGAAGGCTATCGCCTCAGCCATGGGAGCTGTCTCCTCAAATTTTTCCCAGTCCCTGCACTCTCTGATTTTACCTGCCATGGCCACCCCTGCCCTCTCCCCTGCTCAAACCGTGCCTGGAGCCCGTAAGGCAAAGGCTAAATCCAAACATGTCGGCTCCCACTCCTCGATGCAGGTTTTACCTGCCATGACTGACACGCCTGAGGCGGTCTCAGATGGCGCGCACCCCACGCGCAAAAAAGCCCCTGGCCGGGCTAAAAAGGCTAGACTATGGAAAAGGGCTAGAGCCCATGATATTGGGTCGGATACCGACCGGAGTGTGGAGGATGAGTCCGACGCTATGGAGTACGACTCCTTTGATCATGATGATTCTGGCGAGGATTTGCCCCTTACGGGCGTGAACCCCTCCGGGTCCTCCGCCAATACCCGGGGCCCCTCACTTGCTCCCCCGGGGGGTGACACCTCGATCCTTGACCCACAGGGCAACCCCCTGTTTGACCCAGACGACCTACGTCATCCTCGGTCCGCCGAGTGGGTTCCCCCAGATCACATCGCCCAATATGTGGCTAAGCGTATCCGCACGCCACTTTCTAGGGAAGGCCGCAATAAATTGCGCGCCGAGTGCCCACGCCCGTCCCTCCCGGGCGCGGCTTGCAAAACCCCGGACATTGACCCGCAAATTGCTCAATTCCTGAATAAGTCAGGATGGAAGCCCAAGAAGGGCCTTGACCACTCCCTTAAAAGCTGCCAGGACAAGATCCTGGATACCCTAGGCCCCCTTTCCAAGCTTTACGAGCTTTTGGATGCTGCCAGGACCGGGGACTCCGTCCTGGACGTGGATGTGGCCATTGGTTGGGTCCAAAGAGCTATTTGCTTACTGGGGAACGCCAATACGGCCATGTCTACAGAAAGACGCAAGGCGATCCTCCTGAAGATCGACCCTAAATTGGCCGCTATGACTGTGGCGGAGCCTGATCCAACTGAGGAGGGTCTCCTGTTTGGCACGTCCTTCGTTAAGGATATGGGTGCTTATGTCAAGACCTTTACGGCTATTGACAAGGCACAGGCGAACATGAAGCGAGTGTTCGCGCCTAAGGTTTTCGGAGGGGCCGGGCGTAGCAGGAACCGCCCACCCGGCCGTGGTTTCCGAGGCGCATTCCGCGCAACCAGAGGTTCCTTCTTTCCCTCGAGAGGATTTCAGGAACAGAGAGCCCCTCCCTTCTTCCCGACAAGAGGTCGGGCCTGGGGATCCAGATACCCCCGCGGTGGTACCCCCGGCAGACGTCCTTACGGTGAGTACCCTTTCTTTCCCTCACGCTCAAGTTCGGGTGGCGGGGAGACTGGCCTTATTTTGTCAAGAATGGGCAAAGATCACCTCAGATGCTTGGGTTTTACAATGTGTAAGGGGTTTTCGTCTGGAGTTTGTTTCCATGACTGTCCAGTTTTATTCCCCCAGAGAACTGTCCCTCCCTCCGGAGCAGGACGAGATGATTTCCACGGAAGTGGTGGAGATGCTGTCCAAGGGCGCTATAGAGGAGTTGCCGTTCGCCGCCCCAGGCTTTACGAGCAATTTATTCCTAGTGCCCAAGAAAGGAGGCGGTGTTCGCCCTGTCATAAATCTTCGCCCACTCAACGCTTTTCTACGCTACCAACACTTCCAATGGGAAGGTATACACTGCCTCAGAGACCTCCTACGTCAATCGGACTGGTTGGCCAAGCTGGACCTGAAGGACGCATACTTTACGGTCCCCATCGCTTTGGAGTTCCGGGATTATCTCCACTTCACCTGGCATGGGCGTCGTTGGCGCTTCACCTGCCTGCCTTTCGGTCTCTCCTCGGCCCCTTGGTGCTTCACCAAGCTCATGAAGCCCGTGGTGACCTTCCTCTGAACCCGGGGGGTTCGCCTCATTATCTACCTGGACGATATCTTGATCTTATCCCAGTCACGAGAGGATCTCCTCATACACCTGGGATGGACGACCGACCTTCTGCAGAAGTTGGGATTTCTGATCAATTGGAGCAAGTCGGTCCTGGTCCCTGCCCAGTCCATAGAGTTTCTGGGTTTTCAAGTGGATTCCATCCAACAGTTCCTGTTCCTCCCGGATGCCAAGGTAAAAGCCATCCAGAAGGAAATTCGGAGGGCCCTCCGTATTCCAGATTTGTCGGTCAGACAACTGGCGAGAATTATCGGCCTTCTCGCGGCCTCTATTCAAGCAATCTTCCCAGGCCCCCTGCATTACCGAGCGCTCCAACGGCTCAAGGGATCACGACTTCGCTCCGGTCATTCATACGAATCTCGGATAACGCTGGACGAGGAGTCCAGGGACGAACTAGCGTGGTGGTTGGCGCACATGGAAGCATGGAACGGAAGAGCCATCTTCGGTTCGGCCCCGGATGTGGTGATAGAGTCCGATGCCAGCTTACACGGCTGGGGCGCTCGTTGTGGCGACGTCTCCACAGGAGGAAGGTGGTCCGACACAGAGAAGTCGTTACACATCAACTGCTTGGAACTTCTGGCAGGTACCTTCGCGATCCGCAGCCTTGCCCCGGGGAGGGCGAATTGTTGCGTTCTCCTCAAGATGGACAACGTATCAGCAGTTCGTTACATAAATCACCTAGGGGGCACGAAATCCAAAATGTTGGCGACTCTGGCAAAGGATTTTTGGCAGTTCTGCCTCTACAACAACATTTCGGTGACAGCGGAACACATCCCAGGTCTGGACAATTCGGGGGCGGATTGGAATTCCAGACACTTACGGGACTCCGGGGACTGGCATCTACACGCTTCAGTGTTCCAGTGCCTGAACAGGTTGTGGGGCCGGTTCCAGTTGGACCTATTCGCGTCATGCCTGAACACTCAGCTACCGAGGTTCTACAGTTGGAGGCCGGACCCGGCTGCAATAGCGACAGATGCCTTCCTCCAAGAATGGCCACCAGGTCTGATGTACGCCTTTCCCCCATTCAACATGATCGCACGCACGATCTCGAAACTGGTCCGCCACGATTGTCGGATGGCTTTGATCACCCCTCTATGGAGGTCTCGCCCATGGTTCCCTCGGCTGATGGAACTGTCCATAGACTACCCTCGTTTGCTTCCGGTATTCCAAGACCTCCTTCTGGATCCGGATGGGAACTCTCACGACCTGGTGTTGCAGCATCAGCTGCCCCTCATAGCGTGGTTCCTTTCAGGGGACCTTGGGTTATCCCAGACGTTTCGCAGTCAACTCTCCGACTCCTCGATAACGCCTGGGCCCCGGGTACATGGACAGCTTACCGACATTCATGGAGATCATGGTCTGGTTGGTGCATGGAACGGGCAATGGATCCCGTATCTGCCCCTCTGCCTAGGTTTTCAGACTGTCCAGCGCTCTGCCCGGTGGATTGCATCAAGGACTATCTGGATGTTACACGTCCCCTTCGCATGACAGACCTGCACGATCTGTTCATATCCTTTAAATCACCTCACCGACCGGTTTCAACTCCTACTCTAGCACGTTGGGTGCGCTGGCTGCTATCCTCCGCGGGTATAGACACCTCAGTATTTACGCCTCATTCTGTAAGGGGCGCGATGGCCTCGAAAGCCTCTTCAGTCGGATGTCGCCTGGAGGACATTATGCGAGCAGCGGATTGGTCTCGGGAATCGACCTTCCGAGCCTTCTACTTCAGACCAATTGAGCACATCGCATCTCGTGTGGTGGCACAGCTTTGAACTTGCATAATATGAGCCTCCGTGTCTTTAATAAAATTCCCAGATTTTACTAGTAACATGACGTACGAGATGCTGCTTGGTGGCTCTACAGGTATGTTTTTCAGTTTGGTCTGTATTCTATCAGTTTGATTTGCATCTTTTGTATGGATTGTGGTACCTTTATGTTGTGTACTAATTCTGTTGTTTTTATATTCCAGAACTCTGTTTTACCTGTGTCTCCCCAAGACTATGTTTGGTAAGTTTGCAGTTCTGAATTAAGAAATTACCATATTTCTCTATCTTTTTTAGCTTGAAATTGTCGCATCGTTTCCCGTTACCCTGTTTCGACCAAGTGGGACATCGTTCATCTTACCTGGTCTTCGGTTCGCAAGAAAGAGGGGGATTGTGGGAGACACAAGACTTATATAGCTACTTCCTATACCCTGTGATTGGCTACCTGTTGTGCCTATACAGTTTTTTCTTCAGTTTTGATAATATTTATATTTCTCTTTCTTTGCTGCTGAGGAAATAAAGAAAGAGTTATGCATAATACTCGCCTCCGTGTCTTTAATAAAATCATGACTTTACGTCATGTTACTAGTAAAATCTGGGAATTTTTTATTGATACAGTAGCTGAAGAGTTAGCACATAGACCATAATTGCAACATATGAGTAAAGAGTTCACCATAAGGACAGAAATACTATCACAAACAAATCAATTTATATACTGAATACGATCACCCTAATCTTTTGCCTTTTCAATAAAACGACACTCACCGCTCATTTAAAAGGACTCTGACACCAGAGAAATGTTGTCGAACATTCAGTATTTCTCTTCAAATAAACTCTATATTTTCTGTTGTATGGCAAATAACCTCAAAGTCTTACAGATGAGCATGGAAAAACCGCACTTTGCTGGCAGTTTTTCCAGAGCAAGATAATTCATAGTTATGGACAAACCAAAATTTAGAAATAGTATACAGAATGACATTGGGAAACATGATTTACTGTATTTAAGAGGAAATGGAGATTCACAATTTAAGATACTTTTGGTCACTTAACTGAAGCTGGACCTCCTCACGCTAAGCATTATGCAATGTTTTCCTATGAGGGAAGTCAAGAGCGGTGCAAGGAGCAAGGTTGGAGCCTGAACCAGCGCTGAGTGACATCGCACTGGAACCAGGTAAGTGACAGAAGGGTTTTTTAACCCCTTCTGAACCACGGAGAGGTGCTAGGGAGGAGGGCACTATAGGACACTGGCACTATAGTTTCCCTTTAATAGCACAAAAAGAGTCTAAGTGGGAAGTGAGACTGCATGGACATGACCTATACACCAAAACCACTTTACTAAATGTGCTTTGGTGCTTAAAGCTATTAATACGCATGTGAAATAAAATGTTGCATTAGTCAACAAATTGTAAATATAAATGATATATAGGGGGTGGTCACACAAAAATGTACCTTTGATGAAAATCAGAAAGTTTAATATAAAAGTACCTTTGATAGAATAAACAATATTAATATGCCATATAATGTATGTTTAATTTTTTTTTATCTGAAAAAAGGGAAAAAATGTAAATTATGTTTTATACAAAGTTATGTTTATATTAAATTTTTTGAGTTTTGTAGAACATAGTCATTAGCATATTAAACTCTTCGGAGAAATGATGCATGCATACTTGTGAGACGCACATGTCTTGGAATACTTCACTGTTAATTCACCCTGTACATGTTTTTGTTTGTAATTAGTTTCTATTTTATTCTGCTCTTACTAAATTATGTTAATTGGCATGGTAAAGCTTGAACAAACGTGCTTTTTGGAATTGCATCACAAACTCCAACCATTTAAGCTTTACATGGGTTAAGATGTCCCTAAAAACAAGTGTCACAAAACATAGTCTATTCAGTATTAGTTTTAAATATATTATATTGCCATGGTATAATTCTTCTAAGATGTATCAACATCATTAGTATGTTCCATTAATGCCATTTGAATAATGAAGTTTATTTGGCTTCCAATCATTTTATATAATTTATTAATTCACTGGGTTACATTTAAAAGTTTTGAAAAGTCCTTCTCAAAGTAGCTTGATGCATTCATGACGTTAATATAAATGTATCATCAAAAGCATTAAAGAGACAGTGTAGTCAGTATAACAATTTAATCTCTTTGAATTATTTATAGTGCCTGGAGTCCCCTGATACTGTCCCTCCATTCAGAGTTGAACCTTTTTAGAGCAGTTTAACTTAGAGGACCACTATAGTGCCAGGAAAACAAACTAATTTTCCTGGCACTATAGTGTTAATAGGTCCCCCCGCCCCCCACCCTCAGGGTCCCACTCCCGCCAGGTTCTAGGGGTAGGAAGGGGTTAAACGCTTATCTTTCTCCAGCACCGGGCTCCCTCTGCGCTGGGGACTCTCCTTCTTCCGACGTCATTAGTTGAATGTGCATGTGCGGCAAGAGCCACGCGCGCATTTAGTCAGTTCATAGAAAAGCATTGTCAATGGCATCTTCTCACTGTGAAAATCACAGTGAGACAAGCGGAAGTGCCTCTAGCGGCTGTCAATGAGACAGCCACTAGAGGCTGAATTAACCCATATGTAAACATAGCAGTTTCACTGAAACTGCTATCTTTACAGCAGGCAGGGTTAACCCTAGATGGGCCTGGCACCCAGACCACTTCATTAAGCTGAAGTGGTCAGGGTGCCTATCTCCCCTTCTGGAGGTGTGGCTAAGGCAGAGATTACAAACTTCCTTGTAAACATGCCCAGTCAGCTGACACTGTCAGCCAATCACAGTTGCCAACTGCTGCTCAGGCTAATACTTCCACATTTGCCAATGCAGCATAGAAGGGATAGGCTGTTGTGGACTCTTGTTTAGTATTAAAACATGAAAAACATTAAAACTGTTCAATGCTGAATGAAATGATGGCAGCAGGGGACTCCAGACACTATAACCAGATTAATAATATGAAGCAGATAGAGTGTCGACAGTGTCCTTTTAAATGTGATGCTTTTGCAGCAGTACTTCAGCTATTTTTGCATGCATATAGCTGGTAGTTGAAACAATTTCTAAAAATAGCAGCTAGATTGACCATTTATTTTGTTGCAGCAGTTTTGGTTTTTTTTGCCAGAGAACCATATACATGGCATTAGCTTGGCAACCCACCCTTAAAATTAGCTGTTACCCACTCTTTGAGTATAAAACAACTTAATTATGTTCTTCATAGTATCTAGAGAGTCTTCACTAATCTGCATAATGCAGTATTATTACAGTAGACAACTTATTGCTGCTATTGTGATCATGTTTTGACCCATGGAATCCCACTAAAATGACACAGAAGTCCCAATCCAGAATCGAGAACCATTCACCTCCCTAGTCAATACTGTGCTTTGTAAATGGTATTCAGGGACCGTGCTCCACAATCCATAATAAACAAGAAAACCTTAAAATCAGTTATTTATGAACTAAGGTGTTTTATAGTGGAGTGTGGTAGCTTATCACTTCCTTTCTCTTATATATCTTAATAGAGGGATTTTCAAGTTCTCTCTGGAGCAAATTCCAACATTCTCTAATTCTCTTGTGGTTTCCCTGACAAGATATCCTGGCATTCTATCAAGGAGCCCATTTAGTGCTGTAGCATCAATTTTACTATACAATAAATAAATTCTGAACATGTAAAATATACAAATGTACCAATTAATCCTAGTACTATGTAATCTACAATCAGTAGAAAAAATTACAGATATCAGTTTTACTCACTAATGTGTGAATTGTCAGATATTCAAAATGAATTGAAGTCAGCTATTTATTGGTCAGCTATTTTAGCCTAAAATCTCAAAACCATTTTGACTTCCCAACAATGTAAACTTTATTGAATAGCCCTTTATGAGTAATTCCACTTATGATGTTTGATACCCAATCTAGTTCCTAGATGGAATATTCCACTTTTGTGACTTCTGCAATGGTTTTGGAAAGATTCATGTGCTTCTGGGACATTTCACCCATCTCTATTTAACCGACACTGAAGGGGTATTAGTTGGAGAAAGAATCTCTACAAAGTATTTATATGCATTAAAAAAAAAAAACATCTCCATTCAGAAGAATAAATTACATTTACTGTGAAATCCACACACACACACACACACACACACATACACACACACACACACATACACATACACATACACATATATATATAGGAACTATATTTCATGTATGCAACAGAAAAGAGAATATCTGTAAATGTTCCTGTGAATGTCGTTTATTGCTTTCAATGTCAGAAAATATATTTGGCCTGTAATTGATGTATATGCACTCCATACTGGCAATCAATAGGGAGGATCCTTGCTATGATATAGCAGGATCAGAAAGCATTTTCTACTCCTTAAACTTAACATGCTCAAATACCATCTTTAATGTTATAGATGGTTATTTCTCTTGAGTTTTTATCCATTTTCAGCAGTAATATTTTATACATTTTTGTATAGCTGTCTGAAATTTTTTTTTTTTAAAGAAAATATGCGTGGAACCCCCTCTGTGCTTCAGTCTATCAGAATAAAATGCAAATGACCACTGAACAAGGGACTGCTTGTGTGTAGTTCAAAAGACATTAGCACAAAATGTAGCATTGATTGAAATAGGAAGATCAATGATACATTATGTGCAAGACTCTTTTGAATAGAATAAATGAGCACATATCATTTCCTAGATTAAACTGCATGAAGAAACATCAAGAACATCTAATGACAGTTTGTAAATGCTGCAGGTGTATGGGTAGAGAGATCACCTTGTGACTGCATTTTGGATTTTTTTGTAATTGAATTTTCTATTTTCTGAATAGCATTTCATCACAATGCTGGAGTTATTAAAGGAACACTATAGTCACCTAAATTACTTTAGCTAAATAAAGCAGTTTTTGTCTATAGATCATTCCCCTGCAATTTCACTGCTCAATTCACTGTCATTTAGGAGTTAAATCACTTTGTTTCTGTTTATGCAGTCCTAGCCACACCTCCCCTGGCTATGATTGAGAGAG